ACAGCCGTCTCTATACCTTGTTCGTATGGTCCTGAGTTTGTACTTACTTCGCCACCCTAGGAGACTCCTACGCCGACGACGGTTGAAACTTTGCTTTCTCGAGCCAGGTGTCGACGAGGAACGGGTGGGAAACTAAAGTCAAATTACTGTTCACACGACAAATGTAACCCTGGCTGACACGGTCACACTAATTCCTAGTAATCTCCCTAACTAACCAACAGTCTGTCGACCACACTGTGACTGACGTCCGGCAGTAGTCATCGTCTGGGACCTCACTGTGGAGAGGACAAAATGACTTGAATGATGATTGGGGGAGGAAGAATAAACAGATGGACAGAGAGTGGGAAAGTGACCCTGATGAGAGACGAAAGACCTTGTAAGACATATACTCGGGAAAGTAACCTTTTTTACGACGAGGTTTTTGTTCAATAATTTAGTTTAGTTTAGTTTCAAATAAATATTTCGTGTAAATTTTCGCTAAAAACCAGCCCGTTGTTATTACTTTTGTTCGACAAAAGTGAAATTCCATGTCTTTAGATGGTTATCTTGTTCACTTTTACACGAACCATTCTAAAGAACTTTATTCTGCCCTATAAATCTATTTAGTCTAGAACATTAATCGACCCTCTTGAGTAAAACTTGATATAAACTGGTCTTAGTCCTTTACAACACAATCTTATACTCGGCGTTTACGAGTTTCCACAAGACAAAAGACTACAGTCAACCACTATTTAGACTATTTATACATTTATACAAATTAGACTCTATGTTGAGTTTTATTCTACAAAACTGAATTTCCGCCCCATCCTTTCAAACTCTTTGGCCGAGCTCTATGCGAAAAACAATATAAGGTACCTTACGAGAATTGTAGGGCTTTTGTTACTTATAGAATTTATTACAGTAGTCACCTTCGGCATCAAGACATTTTTCGTGCTGGTTAGTAGACTCGGCCGGGCCGATTTTATTGACCTACCGGATGGACGGACAGGTCGGAAGGTAGCACGTGTTTGGAATAAGGCACGGTAGTAACCAGTACACGTGCAGCACACACAACCTCCTCCCGAGACCTCCTTCATCGTCTAAAAAGAGGCCAACACAATAAAAGTTTAAGATCCGCGTGAGCTCGACCAAGAGGTTTTTACTGGATGGGGGTGGACATTGGTACTACTGCGTAACAGATTTTTTTACTACTCTCTGCTTTCTGGAACATTCTGTATATGAGCCCTTTCATTGGAAAAAATGCTGCTCCAAAAACAAGTTATTAAATCAAATCAAAGTTTATTTATAAAGCACATTTAAAAGCGATTTTTGGTCGGAAAACAAGCTGTTTTCACTTTAAATAGGTACAGAAATCTGCCAATAGCACAAGTGAAAATGTGCTTGGTAAGATTTCTTGAAATAAGACGGGATATTTAGATAAATCAGATCTTGTAATTAGCTGGGAGANACAATGAATATCTTAAATAATGTCATCAGTGGAAGCCGTAGTTCTGTAAAAAGCACGACCAATCATCTGAGCCGGCCCGGCTAAAATAACTGGATGGCCTACCTAGGCCATCCAGTTATTTTAGCCGGGCCGGCTCAGATGATTGGTCGTGCTTTTTACAGAACTACGGCTTCCACTGATGACATTATTTAAGATATTCATTGTTTTCGGGATGTTAAGAGCATTCCATGGAATATAACAAAAAGCGTATCTCGAGCCGGTTTCTCAAACTTTCCTACCCCGCCTTTAAGTCAAAACATCTTATTTTGAGTTGTATCTCAGATTAAACATATTTACATATTTATCAGATTTATCACCAACTGACATCAGAAAACAGAACACCTTTGAGCATTTGCGGCTCATATTCTAACACAACATTTCCTGATTCTGGTCAAATATAGTTCAAAATGAGTTCTCCCAGCTAATTACAAGATCTGATTTATCTAAATATCCCGTCTTATTTCAAGAAATCTTACCAAGCACATTTTCACTTGTTCTATTGGTAGATTTCTGTACCTTAAAGTGAAAACAGCTTGTTTTCATTATTGTTGCCCGACCAAAAATCGCTTTTAAATGTGCTTTATAAATAAACTTTGATTTGATTTGATTTAATAACTTGTTTTTGGAGCAGCATTTTTTCCAATGAAAGGGCTCATATACAGAATGTTCCAGAAAGCAGAGAGTAGTCCCAGTGAAAGGGTGAGAGACAGGTAGACAAATAAGAAGGAGGGGGTTAGTAGTAAGTTCAGTAAAACAGGAGAGGTGTCACTCCAGGGTCTGCTACTGATGACGGCCTGCAGTCAGTGTCACACCAGCTGTCTGACAACCAATCAATCCCTCTAATGATCCTTAATCACACTGGCACAGTCGGTCCCAATGTAAACAGCACACTTGTCATTAAACTGAAATCAAAGGGTGGGCAAGGAGCAGCTGTGGACCGAGCTCTTTCGTTTCAAAGTTGGCAGCAGCCGCATCCTCAGAGGATCCCACCGCTTCATTCATGTTTGAGTCCTGGTATGCTTGTTCCAATCCAATCCAATCCAATCCACTTTATTTCTATAGCACATATTAAAAACAGAGGGTTTTACCAAAGTGCTTCACAGCAGACATAACATTATAATAAAATATAATATTACAATAAAATATATGATTACAATAATAGATAAAAGGCACATAAGGGCTATGGACAGACAAATAAAAGCATAACAATCGATAAGACAGCTCTTGGGGCGGTGGTGGCGAAGTCGATAGGGACTTGGCTTGGCAACTGGAAGGTCACCAGTTCAAGTCCCGGCAAGACCAAGTGCTACCGAGGTGTCCCTGAGCAAGGCACCGTTCCCTACACTGCTCCCCGGGCGCCGTTCAAAATGGCAGCACACTGCTCCTAACACTAGATGGGTCAAATGCAGAGAAACCATTTCCCCACGGGGATTAATAAAGTATATCAAAAAAAAAAATCAAACTGACTCGAAAGGGAGGGAAAAGAGGTGGGTCTTCAGACGGGACTTAAACGTTTGTTACGTTTGTTCTGTAACAACAAAGCACGAAAACGTCTTGATAGGAAGTGTTGCTCTGTAATCTCCGAGGGAATCAAATAGACGAATATAGCACTTTTCTCCACGCCTCAGATTTGTTTTTGGCTTCTAGATGACTAAACAGTGATGAGAAGCTGGACGAGGCGGGATGACTCTCTTCTTACTCAGCTTGTTGTTGTTTTTTTGTGCTGCAGAAGTTTCTCCGAGCTCTACCAGAAGGCCATCAAGGACGCTGAGTGTAAACCCGGAGAGGATCAGTCCGGAGAGGCCTGGGTGCTGGACGAGAGGGAAGAGGAAGAGGTGGAAGCAGAGGGGGCGGAGGAGGAAGAGGAGGAGGAGGTGGAGGAAGTGAAAGAGGATACGCTGAAGGCGAGTGAGGTCATTGAAGCGGATGTGACGGAGGTGAAGGTGGAGGACGAAGAGGACGTAGGACGGTGGTGTGATGAAGGGCAAAGCGAGAGAAGTCCCGGGTCGCTCCTCACACCCCCCAGCCTCCCTCTGTTACGAGCCACTTCCCTGCAGGAGCAGCCGGCCAATCAGAGCCAAGAAGGAGGCCTCTCACATCTCACACGCAGCTGCTCTTACACCGACACGTGCGATAGGTAAGTGAGGGGAGAGATAATACACATAACAAGAGGTTTTAATCTTTGTAGTTACACCGTGAGACCATCGGGTAAAAGTGCTTTTAAATCGTCAAGCATGGCCGAACATATCCTGAAGCTGAGGCTGACTCATCACAATTTAATCTCACTCGGTGCGTCACTTTTTCCTGCGAAGGACAAGGCATGGAGAAAGGACACAGAGGGTGTGTGTCACTGAGAAGGATGCTTTACATTAGAAAAAGTCACTTGATTTATAATGTTTCCATTGAAATGTTGTTTTGTAACTTTTTAACGGTTGCACAGTATAAATCCAGCTCATCAGTATCGATACTTTTTTTTTGTCCAGATCGTTAATGGTTGGCAGCAATACAAGGGCAGCACAACAACAAAAACACATTTCTATTAACCAATCACTTAAATTCTGTTGACTATTTCCTCATCCTCTTAAGTATCGAGGTCCTCATCTGGCAGTCGAACTGAAGTTTGCCAAGGATTAAGCTCCAAGGAAGGAGATGAAGTCATATTTGAAAACAGCTTAACATATTTGTATCTGCCGGACAAATCATTTCTCATCAGGTCTCACCCTGAAAAAGCCACAAGAGATTGAAGAGGAAATTGCGCATAAAGAAAAATATTCAGGAGGATAATATTAAAATGCTTTTTCCCGCAAAGCAGAGCAGAATATTTTGACCCCAAACTGCATCAGATATGATATTTTTGATAGATGATTTTGTGAGTGTAGCGTAGCAAACATCAATCAGGCCTAAATCTAAGCCATGCCGGAGATTACTAAATGCTCCAGTTTCTGCTTTGTCCTCTGGATTGGATGAAAACAAAATGTCACGAAGCATCAAACAGCAGATTTGCTTTGTGTTTTTTTTTTTCCCCCCCACCGCCACCTTGTCAGGCACGTGTACGACAACGTGGGGCTGAAGGGGGAACGCCACATCTACGAGAACGACGGCGGCGAGCTGAGGGACGCCATGCCCGATTTGATCCTGGCTGTCAAACCCAATGTTCCCCTGGAGGACGAGCAGGTGAGGGTGGGAGACGAGAGGACATCTGAGTCATTTCTCTCCCCCTCCCCTCTCTGACACTGTCCTTTCCCCTTTGTATCTTCTTGCCTTCAGTTCATGGCCGCTGAGTTTGGTGATGACAAAGCTTCGGTGAGTGACTCGTCGACCCGCCTGTCGTGTTTAGACCGCGCCGAAAGAAATTCACGAGCCCTAAGTCTTCATAACTCCATCACCAAGAGTAAGTACTTCCTGCTAATGTACATCACAAATCTTACTAACAAAAGGAATGTTACATAAATGTATAAATGTGTAATACACACAGGCCATAAACTGTGAAACACCTGCACTTTTGAAAGAACATCCACAACATCTGTTTGCAACTTACAAAATGATTTCTCTAATATATCATATTCCAATGACTTGTATATGGACTCTCCTTGCACTATCATGCACTTAAAACAAAGCTTCCTTCTCAGACAGCTGACTGCTCCTATAAAGCCAACATGGAACAATTACACATGTTAGCGAATCATCCCCGCCTGATTGGAGTCCCTTTTTTCCAGATTGAAACCCCATTATGCTCCCTGCCCTCTCCCTCTGCATCCCCCCTTTGTCCCTCGTCTTTCATCCCCGCTGCCCCCTATTCCGCTAATCTAATATCACCCCTGCTCTGCTGCCACCCCCTGCCAGGGCTGGGATAAAAGGGGGACAGATGGGAGGTGGAGTTTTAGGCAGCCCCAAATCAAGGAGCCCCTCTTCCACCATCTGCTCTGCCTCCGCTGAGACCCTTTAGTCGCCATAAGAGCACGCTGGCTCATCCTCTCATCTGAGTTTGTGCTCTGATTGTTTTACATTGCGTTCTTTCACAGGAAGTCCTCGCTTATGCAAAACCATCAGAGCAGATCTAGAAAAAAGGAGCAAGCAAAAGTCATTCTTAAAATGAAAGATTTGCAGATAATTACGAAAAATTATTTTATTTATTTTTTAACTTGATTTTCCTTTTTCTTAAACAACTCATACAGTTTCCAGGACAAAAAAAAAACAGGTGTGCAAGTTGTCAATTTTTTTGTACCTCTTTCAACGTAACTCCATGACCTTCGTTAACAGGAATTACTAGAAAATAGATTTACTAAATCTCATAGATGACGTGTTCAAATACAACGTTTCGAATTTTTACACGAGTTAAAGCTAAAAAAAAAAAAGACAAACCATTTATGCTGGGCCTAAATTTAAGTTGTTAGTTCTGAGGTAATAAACGCGGCCGAAAGAGGTTATTTTGCCGACCAAAAAAAAAAAAAAAGCTTATTAAAGAAGATAATATCTATTTGAGTTTATGTATAGACTTTACAAAGGATACGACTACAACAAAATAACTACCGTAGCACCAAATGGGAGTATTCAGTCCTTTTTACCTTCCGTAACCGAAATTTGTGTTAGCGACGTAGCCCCGAAACGGAAGCAACGCACGCGATAATCCGGGCACAAAGGAGGGGTTCGAGTCGCTCACACAATTTTAGCGATCAGAAAAGTAAAAGAGTAGTTGCTGTCAACGCCCCAATCACTTTCGGAAAGGCATAGGAACCGGGAGAAACCACACGCTTACTCCTTCATTCATGTCTGAATGAAACTAGACTAACCGTTTTTGACAGTGTCTAAACTGAGGCGGAGAGCGGTCCTGTAGCCTGAGACTCTGGACAGGGTCAAAACTCCAAGCACTCAATATTTAGACACAGCCGAACACTGAGGAAGTTTAATAAAATTTTCCCTCCTGTCTCGACACTCTTAGTACTTTCGTCAAACATCTAACATGTTCCCTCCTACGACCGAAGTCACCATTTTCGTTAATCACTGCTACGAAGTTATGACATTTCACGACCACGAAACCTGTGTCTTTGTGTGTAAAGTGTCTTTTGAGAGGTCAAACTAAAATTGGGAGCTGTCGTTTGGTGACTCGTTTGTTTCTGTGAAGGTCCCTAATTTCTCGTTGAACGGTCGGCAAAAAATGATGTAAATACGATATTGGAACGGCCCTTTTAATGTTAATTTTTACAAATTTACGGGTCCTAACAACCTGAATGAAAAACATTGCGCCAATCGAGGGTTTGTGACGGCTGAAGTGTGTGACGGAAAGTTAGTTCCGGTAAATGTTGCCCGTATAGTTGCCTCCGAGGTGTTGAAAGAGACGGTCTAAAGCAGTTCAATAGTTCGGCGAGGGGATAGAGCGGGCAGGAGGAGGCCATGTGTCGTGGCATCCGAAAAACTAAAAACGTGACCCAGGGGAAACGACCACTGGTTACATTTACAGGGGCGGACACCCCTGTCTATTTCCTAAAGACGTAAGACTAAATGTAGTGAATTTTTTGATTAAATTATGTCCGAATGGGTTTTCGCGTTGATCTAACTTCATTTTTACATTCTAGTATGGTTTAACTTAAACTTAACTCAAACGACGACACTTAAAGTTGGTAGACAGACAGATAGTAAAATTTCACACAAACATGATAATTAGAGAACAGAAGTGACATCGCGCGGCGGCGCCCCCCC